CGCATATCGCTCGGTTGGCGAACGCGCGTCTCATCGCCGTCGTCCCTCAATCCCGACTCTCAGCGGAACGGAACACGCCGCACGTTCCGCGGACCGCGAGAACAGAACGAACCACCGACGACGGTAAGCATTATTATGAAGTTCGCGTTGAACGCGGCCGCGTTGGCGGTCGCCGCCGCCGTGTCGCTGTGGACGCCGCCCGTCCAGTCGCTCGGCACGTACAAAGCGCACAAGAACTTCGGCGAACTGATACTCAGCGTGACGGCCAACGACGAGGTCTGGGCCAAGTACTTGAACGTGGGCATCAAGGTCGAACCGAGAAATCTGTCGGCCGCCGCCCACAAGGTGCTCGTCGGCTTGAAGGTGCTGGACGCCTGGCCCAAGACGGGCGATTCTCCGGGCAAGGCGGCGCAGACGTCGGAGGAGCGCGGCGGCGGCGGCGACGTGGTCGTGGCCCGGGCGCTGCACATCGTCACCGACGTGTCGTCGCACTACAGCAACCAGGGCGTCGCCGTCGAGTTCGCCCGGACCGCCATGGTGTCGGCCATCAAGTGCAACGCTCTGATGTACGTCCTGATGCAGCTGCACGCCATCGAGAAGACCAACGAGCTGCAGAACGAGGCCATCACCTATCAGCCGACCGAGGTTTGGAACACGATGGTCCGCGTTTTGGACAAGGTGACCGTGCTCAAGGAGTCCATCGAAATGGAATTCGACCTGTACCAGCGGTGGGAAGTAGTCGCCAACCACGACATGACGAAGAAACTGCCGCCGCAGTTCGAAGATTTCAAGTCGATGGTCGCGAGCACGCTGGACGCGACGTGCGAACTGAACACGTTCGACAAGATATTCGAACACATGGGTTTCGACAGCGAAAGCGAAAACCTGAACACGGCTACAGGCGCGATGCAGATTTTCAACAAGTGCCAAAAGTTTTTGACGGCAATGTTCAACGACATACCGATCAGCGCCATGAAACTGGAGGTCTGGGAGAATTTTCTCAACAAACCAAAACTTGCAAAATCGGTCGATTAATTCTAATAGAACGGTTTATTTCGGATGTATGAAAAATATGAAAACAACAAATTACAGCAAATGGAATTATTTATACGAGCATAAATAATGAATTTCGAAAATAATCTACGTACTCTGATATGCCCACAGCATATTTTTATCGATATAGTCTTAATAATCTTATACGAAATCTGCTATTTGAAATCTACAGGAGATCACTTAAAATTTATAATAATTTCGACGTTCATTTTGTCATATTCTTTTACTAGTATAGTTAAGTATGATTGATAGTATAATTTTGTGCATGTTTTAAATTAAGTATGATAGATAATAAATTATGTTTGTAATTTATAAATTCTATTTTATTTTAAAAATATATATTCAACAGTTAATCAATATACTTATTTAGAAAAAAAAAACATAATCTGTATTACTTTTTTTTAAAAATATTGTATGAAAATAAAAGTGTACCATTGGTGTTTTCAATAATTCTAACGTTTCAAATATTATTTTGTTTTTGAGGAACTCGTGAAAACCAAACATAATATTCTAAAGATTGTTACAATTTAGTTATTCAATACCTACTGATTGTTTTTTACAATATAAACTGATTTTTATTTACTTTTATTATAAGTTATTTGTTAGATATTTATTATAATTGACTATGATTGCGTATAAGTACTATTTTTTAACGAATATAAACCACAATCCTCTCGCTTATCACTTGATTTATTTCCCTTAGTTTCTGCATTAGAAATATGATTGATTTTTTTAAATTATACACTCATTTTATTATTTACTTTATAAAAAATCTATGCTTTTCCATTAAATATATTTATGTATCAAGTATATAATTTAATCTATTTTTTTTTACCTTTCATTGACAGTGTTTTATCATTTAAGTTAATGATCAACTTAAACAATGATTTAATTTATACTGATATATATTAAAAATGGGGACCGGTCCAATGTGTGATCTACCGATAAACGACTGGTCCAATGTGTGATCTACCGATAAACGGCTGGTCCAATGTGTGATCTACCAATAAATGGCTGGTCCAATGTGTGATTAACTATAACTATATATTATATGCATACTGCAAAAGTATTTTTTTAAATCTGATAAAAAAAATAATCAAATATTTGAGTTTGTACCGGGTGGCATGACCGCCACTATTCTTCTTTAAGTTAACGGTCTGATAGTGAAGATGCACCATTAACTTTAATATTATACTTAGACTTAACTAACTTCCATAACGACTCTATTGTTTGAGTATGAGCTCGATTTCAATCCATCAATAATTATATTTCTATATAAATATCCCATTGTTGTAATTGAAATTCATTTTAAAATTTAAATCGTTACAAAACTAGTTATAAAAAAAAAAAAATTGAAAAAATTGACCAACAAACGAAATGACACGAATGAACGTTAAATGGTAACTGAATGTTTAAATGATGTATTTTAAAAATACAATACAGTCGTAAAATCCATATCATATCGATAATTATATAGGTATAGCACTATAGTGTAAAATATAGATATGTTTTCAGTAGATTACACGTTTTACCTATAACGTTTTATCGTAGATAGCAGTTTATCGATAGATCACACCTTGGACCAGTCCCTAAAAATGTACTATTAGATATACCATAAACTAAAAACAGATTAAGTAAAAAATAAGATGCTTCTTGAAACTTTCAAAAGATTATTATTTAAGTTATTAAAAAAAGATTGATTTTTTTCGTGAAACTAAATTTTATTATTTATATTATATATAATATTTAAATATCATTGATTTGTTCTCAAGCTTTTATGGCTGTAAAGAAACTTAGGAAAATAAGCATACGCTGTTATCATTTTCAAAAAAAAAAAAAAAAAATCAGAAAAAAATACCGAATAAGATGGTTGTAATTTTTTCCTATTTGTTCGGGCCATCGTTATATCATGCGGGTGAAATCGATGGTAAAGAGTTTATACGCAAAACTACCAAACAATAATTTTATTTAAAGTATTGATGCGAAAAAAAAAATATGCGATCGTGTGCTATTCACTAACGCTGTTGTTTTATTTGTTTACTTTGTCGGAACAACATATTTTTTACAAGAAAACAAATTTCCTTCTTGAGCATGATGAAAACGCTTATGCGAGCACGTGTGTACACAAGTATTCAAAAACATGTTTGAACTATACTGGAAAATAAAAATTATTAAAGGCAGTTGAGTAGTGAACGGTTAGGACGTGTTTTAGTGACATCCGCTCATCTGAATCAAAACTCCGACAACAACAATGCACCGTTTAGCAAACTTTTGGTTGCCACTGGCTCTGGTCACATTAATGGTTAGCCCGTGTGCAATCGGCACATTCACCAAGCCACAGTTACGGAAGTTAATCAGTATGATCCTCTACGAGGATCAACAATTCAACGACGTCCTGTCAGAAATGGTGAAACTAAACGATATCGATCAGACTTTATCACCATTTTTGAACGAGAAGGTGCCAGATATCAAAAATGTCAATCCACTGGTGTCGCTATTCGCGCTTACCTCCACTCACCCGTACTATTCCGGCGATGACTTAAACCTTAGCGTGACCATCCTCAGCACGTCCATCATGTGCCTGACGCATAAGCGCGTGGCTCTCCACCTGGCACTGATCATCCGACTGATTGAACAGATAGATGGTCAAGCGCATTTCCAAATTCGGTCTCGCGTTTTCACGCATGCCGTTCCACTTTACATGGACATGTTGTTGTCCGTCCACGGAAATGCCGATAATTTGTTAGCCGTGTACAACATAATATTCGATATGATGTCATCGTTGGATTCGGGGGAGACTGTTGAATACGATGATAAAGTCAACACGTTAAAACAAGAGTTGGAGAAGCTGAACGCCGTCATAGAATCGTCTTGCGTAGTCAATAAAATGAAGGATTACTGCGATAGCTTCAAACTGAGTAAACTGGAAAATTGCGCAAGCTTTATTACCGACAACCAGCTGATATCCGACGGTGTAGATGTCAACACCACTGTTGAGTCTCTAAAGGAAAACGAGAACGCCATAATGAATTTATTCGACGAGATGGACTTACTCAGAAACGTGGACAGAGGCGTATGGAAGGTCATGTTGAAGATACCGGATTTACCAGCTGACGATCCAAGTCAATTCAAAAGAACTGAACTGCCTACGTATAGAGATGAAGTCGAAGATATCATTTATAGGAAAAAACTTTCTATGTCAGATGTAGTAAAAATAGAACATACACCAGTGACAGACCCTGAAGTTGATGTTGTAGTACTAGAAGGCTAGAACCCTTGGTATTTTAATGCATTAGGTAACGTTCTATACCTATTCAAATCTATTAATTTTTGTAATTTATACATAACTTAAATTTATTTATACCTTCTATATGTATCATATATGTTGTATTACCATAATAATAATTAAATAATTAATTATATTATAAAGTAATGTAAATGTCATGACTCATGAATGTTGTATTTTTATTTAATAATTGCTGTTTAATATTAAAAAGTAAATATTTTAAATCACAGTTTTGTAACGATTGCCGTCTCTCAACATCGTACATTATTTCTTAAGTAGAGCACGCGCTGCTAAAATTCTGAGTATGAGGAATGATGATCGGAGCCGAATTCTGACCCAAGGCTTTTAGGTATACATCTGGTATTTATAAATATGACTATTACCAATACGTAGGGTGGTGTGTGTAGAGAGTGAGAGTGTGCGACACGGAGCGAAAACAGACAGTGAAGAAAACTCCACGACGATTTGTGCGGTCACCATCAAATATCCACACTCACGGCACGTCAACATCTACCCGGATCGGTAACCTCATATACTATGTATATATATTATTTAAATATAATCTATTTACAAATTATCTGTTAACAATAATATAGGTTATACTTATGATTATGTGCTTTACTTAAATAAGGTAACCCTGATCTGAGATAAGTGATCTCTGATATTAATATTACATACCTACCGAAGTCGATTCCCCGAGACCTTGTTAAATAAAACACAACTTGACCAGAAGGGAACGCAAGGTTCGTTAGCACCCAGTGAAGAGGAGACGTTACAATCGATAGAGGCGCCGAGCCTACACCTTTAATTTTTTAAAGACAATTGAATAAAATTATAAAATTAATTTTTATTAAAAACGTTATGCTAATTGATCAAGATAAAAAATAAAAATAAAAAAATTCTTAATTTAGCTATTATTACAAAATGTCAAAATACAATATTAACACATTCAATGTCCTACACTTACTGTGTATGCACATGAATTTACTTTTATTTTATCTAGAATTTAAATTGTATGTTTTTATAATAAATATATTCATATATTATCAGCTACATACCACTTCTAATAAAAATGTTTACAACAATAACACACATCTTATAGTTAATGAAAAATAAAAACTAAGTTGTTTCTAAAATATAACGATGTGCCACCCGTTACAAAGCTCTGATAATTTGATGTTTGTTTGAGTAATGGATGTGGAAAAATCTAACTTATTACAGTTAGATAATTTATAATATGTTTTTTGACTTAATTATATTGTCTTTCCTTTACAAAATCTTCAGATAATCTAACAGATTTTGCAGTTTTCACTCTCTAAAACACTTTTTATTAGATACATATTATCTTTGACAGAAGTGCGTGTTACATTCATTTCACAATTAGTAATAATAATAAAAAAAAAAAAATGTTTAAAATACCTTTGAATAACTTCTATATTTTGTAATGTTTTTCAATGGATATTTTTAGTAGATACATAACGTTTTACTACTAATCTTTAATTAAATATTTTATCACGTGGAAATTTTGATACCTTAAATAAAATGGGTTTTCAAATGAAAAAATTAACTGTGTTATATCAAAATTACTGAAATTTATTTAATGTTATCTTGTTTTAGCGTTTTATAGTTGTTTCTAGAATTGTTTGAAACATTTTAAGTCCAAGAAAATATTTGAAAATTGTATAACTTTTGATGTATTTTTAAAACTATAATAAAAAAAAATAAAACAATAGTTAACAATATATTATGTAATAAATTAAAAACGTAAGAAGTGTAATGGCAAGTGGATTTAATGAACTTGCATTATAAATCGAATAAACCTGCGTTTAAATCCTGTATTTGCGAGTAAAATAATATTGAAGAAAATAAATAAATGACGGGTGTTGCAGGTGGTTAAAACAACTAATAATAATTTGAATTGTACGTTTACACAAAATAATTTAAAAACCTATTTAGAATTTAAATGAAATATTTTATTCTATGGTGATACCTATGACTATGAATTTATTTAAAACGATTTTTCGCAGTTATTATATTTAATTATTTTTAGATTTTATTCTGTATTTGTTAATATTTTTTAATATTTTCGTAAGGCTTTCCGAGTCAATGCAGTTTCATTCGCTGTATTTTAAGATACCTTATGAATATTATAATTATCTTTTCATTATTATCATTATTAATTATACATCCATGGCAGCAACGGCTATTAGGAATTATACGCAAAGTGTAGAGGTGTACTTATGTTTGGCACTATTATTATCATAATATTTCCTATTTACAGTACGTGAAAAGTAATATTATAATATGGCCAAGTAATATTACAATATGATAGTGTTTGATATAAAGATCATCTATTTTTCTTTTTTTTTTTGTACAATATTTTATATTTCATTTATATTATTATTTAAATACATGAGATAAGTGTGTTTATTTTTTTTTGAACTGCCTACCTATATTTTGAATAATGATGCATGTTATTAAGTCAAAAAAGTCTACTGTATGGGTATTTAAATGTCTTATGATAATCAGTTTGCTTCTCTTTTCCGCAGAAAAGTATATAGATAACTAAGTCATTCTGGCATTATATTTTTCCATATTGGAAATTTGTTCCGAGATTATTAAGGTAACACATTCAAGAATACAAATATGTACGTCACGAACACAGCACACTGTCGAGTGTGTGTGATATGTTAACTGTGCGGGGAAACTCGTTGTCGACGTTTACTATACACGTATATTAAATGCATTTTATAATATCTTGTGTTATTGAACGCGTGTATTTTTTATACAGGATTTGGGGATTCTTATATTGCTGAAATTGTTGAATAGTCAATATATTATTGTTTTAATACTTTATTAATTACGAATTTATTTTAAATTGTGCTACAAATAACTATGAATGCATAAGATTTCATTGTAGATTATATTCATGTTTAAAATAATTGAATATATATTTACACTTAAAACTTAAACAATAATAATAATACACAAATAATGTCATTTGTTATTACAATTTATATGTATAATATAATATTTGTAAAATTCAGATGGAAAAATTCTTACTTTTATTAAAATACTAATAATAAATTATCAAAAAAATTAATGATATCATTGTTATTTTATAAAATAATTGATTGTGATATGATAAATTGGTAACATATTTTACAGTCTTCTCTTTGACAAAATGGTAACATCGAGATATTAAACATACAAAATAAACGTGTAAAAATTTTTATGTTGTATTAATAGTATAACAAAGAGATAATAGCACGCTCTACGGGTATTTATAAATCTAAAAAACTTCCTTTCGAAAATCAAATCCAAATTGATCACATTTAACTCTTAGAAGTCTACCGAGTTGTGGCGGGCCGCAATAAAATACTGTGATTTTTCCTTTCTTTTGGTCTAATAATTGCTTGAACACTTTATCCCAGTTTGGCCTTCCTGCATTTGTTCTGGTTTTCAAGCCTGTTATGAAATCTCGTTTTTCCTAAAAGTGATTAATATGTTGTATTCATTTCATATTTATAGCTGTTTATTATTTATATCATTTAATTGAATAACATAATTATAATAATAAATTATCATATCAATTTTTACCTTTTCGTGTAACAAATCCAAAGCTAATTGAAGTCCAACGGCTTTCATATCGGTTTTTTGCAAAGCAGACGTTATATACATGTGCATCTCTAGGAACCTCTCCATAGCTCCACCGAGTTCAGCTTGTTCGATTTCTAGTTGTGACAGTAAATTCACAAACCACTCGAAAGATCTTTGATCACGATTAATCCAAAAGAAATCAACCTATAAAGAATAGATAAATAATACAATTGACTACCAAACATAATACTATGCATAATAATCTAGATCTATCGCGTCGTGTTTCTTACTTTTCTGAGATGCATCACTGTCGGTGGTATTTCACTCGCCCAAGTATATTTACATTTTGGACAGGTGTGTCGGGCTTTCCAGTATCGGTGCATGATTGATTGCAATATGGAAGCAAACGGTGTGACTCCGATACCCGTGGCTATCATCACGGCGTGCTGAGCTCGGAATATGTGACTAGAAGGTGCACCGTACGGTCCAACCAGATAAATCTAACGATAAAAAAAAGAAGAAGTCATTCGGTATACTATGAGAGTCAGTGTTCACTTTATATTACTCACCTCCAGTGGTTTGCCTACAGGATAATTTATGGGTGATTGACTACTGTTGTCTTCTTTAGATCTTTCTTTTGACTTGTTTTCATTGGTAACAAACTCCATACTGCCCATATTGGACGACTGAAACAGAATAAATAAAGTTTCAAACGATGTTAATCGGACATACCCAAAAATAGTAATACTGTTTACCGTTTCTATTGTGATACTATATGACGAAACTTTGGTTTCGCAATTTTCTAAGCTTGGCGTTTTGAATGCTATGATGGTCGGCTTATGTCTCATGTAACGAAAACTTTGGGCTAATGACTTATTTTGGGGGCTTAAATATGCTAAACCTAAAGATTGAAGTCTTGCTCTTTTCATTTGACATTCGTCAAAACTTTTTTCAGATTCAGATCGCATGTAAGTTCGCAAGCTAAAAACGAACATTTATAAATTTTAATTTTAATTTGATTATATAAATTTATGTCGTTGATAAAATACAAAATATTTAATACATACGCTAATAGACGTTCTCTCTTTTTAATACGATTGTCCATATCAGGCATAGACAAAGATTTCGACAGTGGGGCCTTGTTAATCAAAACAAGTTTGTGGAGATTGGTATTTGGTGCCTTTTTCACTGATTTTCTCATTTCTAATAATTAATACATGATAATATTTAACGATTATTTCGTATTCACATAATTTTGTACTAGTTAATTACGTAAATTTATAAACATATTACAATTAAAATATTTACTATTACCCATTGAAGTTTTTGAATTACCAGAAGTGCCGTCGTTCTCAGAACCTCTAATTTGAAAGTCTTCCGGTAAACTACTAAAACTCTGATTAGTATAACTATAATCGCCACCTTTTTTGAATTTTCCTTTGGTGGAATCCTCCACAGTTCTTCCTGAAAATGTTCTCTGGAGAGACCTATAATATTTAAATATGTTATATCATAATAATTCATTTATGTATATAACTTGTGGTTTAAAACAGCTTTAAACCTACGATTGTAGCTTTTTTATTTTTGAAGATTCTATAGTATCTACAGAAGAAGTTTTACTGTTAACAGAATCAGGCAGTTCTTCGTTAAGCAAATGCAACTTTTGCTGTTCTTCTTCAAAATATGAATACAATCGATTTGTCCATTCTCCAACTCCGCGGATATGTAACCACATATAATCTAAGTATAAATAATTGTTTACTTTAATACTTTCCATATGCAGTCTAGCAAAATAAATTTGTATACACATTTATACCTTCTTGTTCCGGAGCACTACTGATAGTAAATGGATGCCATTCATACTTGGCTATGGCCGGTATATTTACAAAAACGTAGTCACCAGGATGGAAATCGAAATGTGGAGGTCTTTTAATTACCAAATGTGTGACTTTAGATGGTAAAAGTAAACCAGAACTAATATAAGTTTTTCCATGTTCGGAACGCATCAACGAGAAACGGTAAAAACGTTCACATAAATATAATAATCCGGGAATGATCAACCATTTCCAAAAGTTTGGACAGTGAAAAATTAAGAGTAAGTAAAAAGGCACGTATAGTAAATGAGTCCAATAAAATATCTAAAAAAACAACGATATATTTAATAGAAAAAATATAAATTGAAAAATAATCCATCTTCCTGTTTGGACTTCTAACCTCAAAGCATCCTCCTCGACGAACGAATGGCTGTGAACAAATGAACATCACGAATAGAATAATGATTAGTAAAACACCCGTGGGATTAGCATATCCTGATATGAGTCCGAAAATTTCCGGGTCGGTGGTAAATAGCCATTCGGACACTGTGAATCCTTCATAGTTTAAATTTGGATCATATATTATGACGGTACCTATAGTAAATATGAAAAATGAAACCGTTATCAAAGGGCATAGAAAAATGTCATAAACAGTGTAAAATGAACTTACTGAAATTTAGTAAATGCATAAATGTATGGAGGATACTATAACCAAATATGAAAAACCCTGTAATTTTATGAAAATATATATGTTGGTCCAAAGGCAAAAATAATGAGAGTCCGCGGGTTCTGAGGAACGTAATACAATGCCTTAACATAAGAACCAACACAAAAGTACAATTGAAGTTTAAACACTGGCCTGCAAATCAAAATAAAATAACAAAATAGAAAGCTGATACATATTTATATCTACATTATAAATATATAACAAAAATGTATATACTTATGTAATAAGTATAATCATGTATCATGTATAATAAATAGATGAAAATATAATATTGTCATTGTATTTCACAGTAACATCGAAATGTATATTAAGTTATTTAACATGTCTGATTTAGAAATGAAAATACTTTTGTCTCATTTTTTTAAAATTTATTACATATCACCATTTGGGTATTTTAAACAAGCGCCTAACTTAGTTTGACCGTTTAAAAAAATTAAATAAGTATTTGATACTAACCTAACCGTTTTTATGGAGTTGAATTTAAGTAATTTTCTTAGTGCGTATAAGTTACGAAAAGTAAGTTGGTAACTATTATTGTGTCATGTGTGTGCGATTGTAGTGTAAAAAAACTAACAGAACTGCAGAACGCTTCTGCATGTGCACGCATATGTCAACAGCCCAGTGTACAAATATTAATTATGATTTTAATTCTTTTCTTGTAGTTTTTTTGTTTTTTAAACATATTATTATTAAAATTATTTAGAAGTTATTTTCTATAATTATATTGACTAACCTATTCACCCGATATAGTTTCTATATCGTTCTATTTCTATTTTAATTTTAGTTTCTATTTCTATATAGTTAAATTCGACACAAAGTAAATTTGAAAACCAATTATTTACATTTTTTTGATTACTTTTTTATCTTAATATTAACCAAAATGTTCAAATTTTTAATATTTAATGTTTGAAAATTTAATACCAAAAGGTGTAATATTTCAATTTAAAAGAAGTTGAAAAGTGATTTGAAAGTTAACTTCATGACGCATTCAAAATTTCAAATATGTTTTCAAAAGTTCTATCTAATTACTAAGATAGTTAATACAATTGTCATAAGATATATTTAAAATACAGCCAAACCGGCATGTGTAGTCTCCGACTTACAAACGTAAAGCATAGCAAATTTTTCGTTCATAATAATCCATTTTACTGTTTATTTTTTAAATTAGAGTTAGTTGATTTATTGTAACATTTAGGAAAAGATTATTAGTCAGAACATCGTTAAAAATTTGATTGATATTTTATAAAGCAATTTATAGTTATTTAAAAACTGTAAGTTTTTGAAAATTTTAAAATGATCATTACAGATTTCAAAATTAAAATATAAATTAAAATCTCCTTGCTTTAATAATAATTTTATCTACAATTTTTATAATAAGTTGATAATTTACTCTAATAAAAAGAAAAAAGAACAAAGTGAAAACGTGACTATTTTGAATGTGAAATTTAATACGTTATTACGTTGTACGTTTGTATGAAGGAGACTACACATGCGGTGTAGCGTCATCTTAATATTAATTTTCTACTATTCATGCCTGTTGTCATTAATTTTATGCATTGACTTACATATTTCATTCACAAATTCTGCAGGTCCTTAACATAACTAAAATGTATACTGTATATAATAATAGTGTAATAAAAAACGTGTCACCGAGCAGGATGTGGATATTAAATTATAATAACAGGATTAAGTTTAATATTATAATAGTAAATATTATGTAGATTGACTTACCACAGGCTCTAGCGAGAATTGTATAGATATTGGAATTACGATATTGATAGATCCTAGTCCCGAACAGTAATATATTGACTACTACGTACACAGCCAAAAACATCAAATAAACGTAATTGTTGCGCATATACGGCAACGTTAGCTGATACGGACGCAACGCAGTGATTTTTCCTCTGACTGAAGCTGGTGGCTGCTTTGGCTTAGGCGGTACTAGCCAGCGGTCTATGCTGAAAAATAGAAATGTGTTTTTATGAATGAGTGTTTCAAATGTTTGGAACGTTAATGATTATTAAACAAAAAAAAAAAAAAACAATGAATAATATAGTGTTTTTAGTTCAATGTCCTCAATTAAATCTGTAATCAATATAAATTTTAAGATATTATTTTAAAATTATTTATTTTTTATTTATAATGATTATTTTTAACTATTTTATTGATAATGCAATTCTCGCCATTTGCATACCTTTTTTATTGATTGAGATAATCAGTTAAAATATGTCAAATCAACCAACTGTCTCCATCTTATGATTAAAATAGGAAGAACAGAGAGTACTCTATAATTAAATAATACATATGCATTCAGTATGCATAAAAACTGACACTACATTAATAATTTGAAAATTGTACATCCGCATGAATAATTTTTCAATCAAAAAAATAGTGGACAAGCTCAATTATTTTATAATTATTTTATTCAAAGTTTTTAAATCTATATTAGTTTTTAGTATAGAAAGTCAGTGGTATTATTTTATAAAAAGTTTTTTTTTTTTTTTATCAGAAGAAATTCCAAGTTTTTATTTTTATATTATAATATTATAATAGCTATTGAAAATGAAAAAAAAAAATACTGAAATTTCTGAAACAAAATTTTTTCTCAATATTTTTTAATAATCAGTAATCATATAACCTTAATTTTAAGTTTGAGCCATGTATAAATGAATTACAAAAAACTATAATTTTACTGTAATATTTTACATCATAATATTATAGGTTGGTATTTCAATTAATGTATAAAATACAGAAACAACGTCCTCGAGGTAAAAAAATAATAAAATATTAACAACTGATATAAATATTTAATGGATTAAAAAGCTTAAAAATATTTATGTTTTTAACAAAGTAATTTTCCTCTAGAAATGGAACAAAATGTGATTTTTAGTTTTGATGATAAAGTAAAATAAACACTTAATTTAATTATTTAAATTAACTTTTATATTCTTTAAAGAATAATTAATATATTTGATGAAGTTTATATATATGTATATATATATTTATTTTACACAAACGTTGTATAGACAAAAATAATATTTGTTTATTTATTCATCGTTCACAAAAATAATCGACCTGGACATAATATGTGTGAACTATAAAACAAAAATTTTATATTTTAATATAGGTATACCAGTCAGACTGATATATAGATTGAAATATGAATTCAATCAGACACCTACTGTATAGTTATCGTATAGATTAATGTACGTTTCAATAAAAAATCAATTTTTATTTATACGGGTGATCCTGATTCAAAGAAACGTGTGGGTATTATTATACGTAAGTAATACTACAAAACACAAATGACGCAGTATATTACCTTATCGACAGATTCTCCAATAATCCGTTGTGTTTTTGTAATTGATTTTTGAGAGCTTCGTACGTAATAGCACCCCTGGACTCGCTGTCGGCGTCTTCGAACAACGCCATCGTTAAGTCTTCTACTTGATCTTCCGAAAACTGCATTCCATTTTCTTCCATACATGCACGCATAACGTGCTGTAATTCCCGGTGCTGTATAAGACCATCGCCTAAACAACAAATATTATCGAATTATATTATTTTTTTTTTATCACTCTTGATTCTGAAGATGAATTTCAATCGTTCCAAAGCATTATATTTATCTTACTTCTCAATATTATTATTATTTATTTATTTATTTATTATTATTTTTTTTTTTTTTTTTTTGATTAATTATAAAGGGAAATTCTATTTTTTTTTTGGTTTATTTCTAATTATATACAATTATTTTTCATATTAAAATAATCGGTTATTTAATATTGTCTAAGTATTGAATTTATAAATTTATTTTAAGCAAATAAAAAAAAAGTACGTTAAATATCATAATGTATAAATTCTAATGTTTTAATTCTTATGAGTCATAAGATAAAAAAATATTATTTTATAACCATTTTAATCCATTAGTATAGTGTAAATATAACAAAATATACACTATAGTATAATATTATAATTAATATAATAATAATACGTAGAATACAACGTAATAAACTAATAAACATACCGTCCAAGTCGTACACTTTAAACAGAAATCGAATTTTGTCATCTGGCGTTTGTCCTGCAAATTGGTGCATTGCATCAAGGAACTCGTGTAACGATATTGACCCAGAATTATCTTTATCAAATATTTGAAATACACGTTCAGTAAAGAATGGCTAAAAAATTTTTCAAATAAATAATTAAACACGCCAATCACAACAAATATTGTTTTGACTTACATAAACGTATTTTAAAATACATATTATTTGTAGAAATATAATAAAAAGATTAAAATTACAATTTTACACGTTAAGTGCATAGTTTAATAATTGCATATTTTATTTGTGAATTATAATTTGATAGGTATTAGCGTATAACTTAAGTTTTTATTAGCTTATAATGTTCGAACTATCATGCATAGTTTATACAAATCAATTTTCACACGTTAGTAAAATTATATTCAGTGGTGTATTTATACTTGCTTCACTTCAAGGCGTTTACAAAAAGGCTGATCTGAATTAAAATAATAACAACAAAACTATTGTCATTCTAATCAGAGGTGAAATATAGCATAGTAAAAGATAGTAAAGATTATAAATAGTAGGTAATAGTATTTACCATTGGTAATCAGACAAATATTTTGATCTTAAAGTCTAAGACGGTTAAATATTGACGCCTCTCAACATTTACTGCTGTAGGCCAGTTAGTTTATAACACTTATATCTATAAATATAAATATTATGAAATACGCCCATGATTATATGTTTACTTAATATTTGTGTATAGAATAAAATTAGATGTACCTGTTTTACATCGCTATAGATATTGAATGAATAGAAAACCTTATACTTAATAGTAGATATACAGTTGTAGTATCGATAACTCAAATAATAATAATAATAAATCAAGTGCAACTCAAAAATAATATAATATATAGATACTTTTGGTTTATTTGAAGGTTTTTATCACCTAAAGTTTTCATTTACTAAGATAATAAAATCTTTTACAATATGATCTATTATTACCAATTTCGTAAAAATAATATAGTCGAAATATTAGTGAACTTACGTTCTTAGTGATTAAAATTTTATTGAAATCATCCCGTTTGATTTCCATTTCATCCCCAACAGTTTGTCTAAATAACTGTTCGAGCCACATCAAGTTCTCACTGTCAAATCCCGATTTCACTCTAAAAAGTTATAAATTAGTGGTTAATTGAGTTTATTTTCTGAACATAATATCAAAAAAAAATAAACGTATACATATATATTTAAAATTATTAACAAAAATAAAAATGTTCAAAATAATATTATGAACTCGAATTTTTATTTTATTTTTATGCTTATTTTACCATTGACTTGTATTATTATAATAATTGTTACCTCGAAGAGTATGTAATCGTAGTTATTAAATCCATTGCTTGTGATGGCGTGATGATTCCGTCAGAATCCTTGTCAATAAGTCGAAATACTTTTTCAACGATCTAATTAAAAAAGAAACATAATAACAATTATCTAATAAATAAATATTTGCACTACTAATGGATGCATTTTTTTTTTATATAAGTGACGAATTAACGTAATAAAGGTTTACTACAATTAATAGGATAGTCATAACTCATAATTCATAATAATCATTTCGCATAGGTACGAATTGTGTACATTTCACTCTTCAAACTGTTAGTCTGTACTACATTAACACAGTTACGATATGATTATAGCTATTAATAATAATAGTAATAATAGTAATAATAATAACAATAATGTTGAACAGTCGCGTTAATATTTAAAAATAAATTCGTATAATGGATAATTCCAGTGATCAATGTACACTAGTCAACATGTAAATAGAACTTTTTGCAAGATCATTAAATAATATATGCTAATAGTACTATTATTATTATTTTATCAAATTTCATTGGCTGTAAAATGTATTTTTGACATTCATTTGTTGCATTTAATATTAGTAGACACACAGTAGACACAAAGAAAATATAGTTTCCGGGCCATAAAAAAATCACCGAGTAGATATACGAATTTAAACAGTTTCATAATATGTTTAAAAGAAAGTCTCAGATAATTTTTCCAAACTAAATTATGTTCTCTCTTTAGTTTTGTACAAATTTTATAGTTTATTTTCAGTGTTCTAATATTATTATTATGTATAATTTACATTTTATGACTTATAATACTCACACAGCTTGTATGTGATAAAAATATACATTTATCATAATAAATCATAATTCATAAGAATTTAATATCAATAAAATTAATGATTTAAATAAAATATTTGTAAAATACTGTTATGACGAAAGTTTTTATAAATACACAACTTATGAAGCTTATAAAGTATACAATAATTCATAATTTTATAATTATTATAATATGTTTGTATACCAAATCGTAATATTTTAGGTGGAATTCAAAAAAAAAAATAAAATATCTATATTGACAGTGTATATTTAAGTTAATATGTGGAAAAGTAGAGAAGTACCTACGAATTTTTAAATTCAATAGAAGATATTATTCTCTACAACTTCAAATAATCCAAAATTTAACTTACATTTTTTTAGACAATTTAAGCAACTTAAATCTATAATGACTAGAATTTTTGTTCAACTAACACGAAAAAACGTATTTTGACAGACGACTATATTATAAGATAGGTAGTTTATACCTATGATGATGTTGTCATCATTAGCTGCTTGTTGCTCATCGAACGCTTAACGACGTATACAATTCTTTTTAAATATAGTAATATAGTATTTATCTACCAATTACGTTATTTTTACCGTTTTACTGCCAGAAGGAACGAATCATTATGGTCGGAAACGAATCCGGTTGGCGGCGATTAAAGTAAAATATTTAAATAACGTATAGGAAGTTGTATATTTTTACGTCTCAGATGCGTCTTATGTAGTCGTAAATTAAAACTTTATGTTGTTGCAGTTTATTTTAGTTACACAAAAATGATTAATATCATATTATACTTCCTTATCACGTATAAATTATACTTTTTTTGCCTGGTTCCTAGTCGCTCAATTGTACCACAATTGAAATGATGCATATAAAATGTATAATGTATTATACGTATAGTTACAATGCAACAAACGGATATGGTTTGATTTATATAGGTATATCGAACGCTTTGAGAACTCAACAAAAATGCGTTCACACGGATATCGCGATCGTAAACCCCAGAAAAGTATACCTGAATGAATTTGAAAGTTAATACACCAACCATCTGATGTAAAAACAAAATATTTTCAAGGACATCATTAAGGAGTTTAATATTTTTTGGGATTAAAAATTACGAGTTTTTTTTTAGGCGATAGATTTTTAAATTTTAAAAATAATACTTTTATAATACATTAAATGGATTTTTGAATGAAAGAGAAAATAATACTTAATATAAAACTATAAACGTATTATTGCATGGCATGGTTAATATTCGGTTTAATGTAATAAATTTCAATAAAAAACTTTTTTTTTTTTTTTGAAAGTATTTTGGTTTTACAATCACTTTCTAATAATATTTTTCATCGATCCATGTGAAATACTTATATTACTGTACCTACACATTGAATATATACCATGTGTCCGATGTGTGAAATACAAAAATAACAATTCATGACAGAATGACATTTTGTCTTTGAAAATTGGCAATACATGCAAAATAAAAAAAACAAAGTTTACGTATTTTCAAAGTAACAAAAAAGTATTTTGATAGTCTCAATTATTTTACCCATTGAACTGTCCTATAATTATGTGTATATTTAATATTTATTTTACGTACAATATCGCTATTATATGGGTGGACATGAAAATATTTTTACATAGAATTATGATTATCATTGATGACAACGGGTAAATGAAAAAATAAAAATAAATAATATCGTCGTCTCGCATTGGTACCTAATAGTAATAACTACTTCTAGATAAATACGCACAGCACATTATAGTATAGTAAGCTCATGTAGTTCCAAACATTTAAACACTAATTAGAAATTTTGTCACGAGTATTTAAAAGAATCGTTCTAGCCTTAAAAACGAACCGTATATTTTTTACGACCATGTCTAATGTTCGAATGATTTAATCATCGATTACCGGCGAAATATTATACGAGGTAAGGCCAAACAACAATTGATATTTGCATATTATTGTGCACAAATTATAAAATACGTAGTACTGCAGCGGCAGTATTAATGTATTATTATTATTTTTATTGCATTGCCTACATCATAATAGGTACAAACTACTTGTAGTGTCGAACAATGAATTAAATGAGTTATTGCGAGATAAATAAAAATGTTACGCGCGCTCCGACTTGAGAATATGAGTATGTTTACGGCAAATCGTGTATTTTGTAATGAAAGTCGTTCACAAACGAAAAACATGGTAACAAAAAATATAAATTATAACGTCTCGGTCATAAGTATAATAATCACGAAATATACGCGATATACCATGTTATTACGATCCGCATAGACGCGCAGCTAGAGTTTTATTACCAAGGGTGCTGAAATTTTACTTATAATATTACAGTCGTAAACACACCCGCGGCGGCTACCAAACGCCTTCTTAACACCTACCTACCTACATATTTAATACATCAGTTTTTAACTAGTATGATGCATACTGATTGAATAACGCAACACGACCGTTTTTAAAATACGGTACCGATTTTGTATTTTTTTATGGTTCAAGTCTAACAATATTATTTTACACGAACTAGACAGATTATGTCATTCACGGATAAACTTATTACACTACTTCTATCTACGTAGAAATGTTTTTGGGAAAGCACTATACAACACTATACCACGTATAAGTACAGCTGTATAAAGATAATTTTATTATTTTTTCTGGTTGTCGGTTTATGGTTTCAGGTTCGCTGTTTGATGTCGTCGTACATCGTCGTTCTAGTAAGTAGAATTATGTAGTACAAGGCTAGAAATCAAGGGATACTTTAAAAAAAAAATAAATACTTTTTACCCCGTGCAATTAAATTAATTTTGTTTTTTTTTTTAAATGATTATTTTTATAATAACGATCCAATTTGTATATTATTTATTATGTTAAAGTATGTATTTTAATTACTATAAACTGTACATTTTTGAAGTATTAAATGCACGATTTTTGGATTTAAACGGGAATAAAAATAACGTAGCTATTTAAACATACATTGAAAAATACATTGGTGCCGTGATCTTTTACAAATTAACATATCAAAATAGAACCTAAAGAAATTTTTAACTTTTGTTTGTAAGATTTTATTATTGGATAGCTTTTACATTCCGCCCGTCATTTTTTTCTGTCAGTTAGTAGGTTCTGTTATACTTATGTATTATTTTTACTAAAAATTTAGAATACATCCGTTTTTGTGAATAATATAATATAATATTGCCTATAGGTAATTTTTTATCAAATTTTCTTGTTTCACTCTGCCATATAAATATTGTAAATATTTAGTTATAAATGTAACTAATTAGTGAATTTCTATTTAACTTGTAAAAGTTATAAATTTAATAAAAAAATAACTTAATGATTAAAAAAAAAAAAAAAATCAATTGACTTGTTAATACTGTTAATAGCGTCTATAATAAAACTACACGACGTTCATACGTTAAACTAAAAATCGTCGATGCAGGGTATGTTGTTAACGTTTTCAACGGTGACAGTCGTCGGGCGACTTGAGCCAATACGTTACAGAGGTAACGAAAACAGTAGCGTGCTGTATAACATGTCGACAACAGTCGGCGACATCATCTCATCGCTCGAGAACAGTTGGTCGTCGCTGGGTAAAGGGGTAATGGTAGTGGCGATTCACTGGTCGAGAGGCGGCGAAGGCAACGGAATTGGACCTAACGGAAGTGTTGGTGGTGGCAACGGAAGTGGCGGTGGCGTCGACGACGACGTACCATACGGGTTCTTGCGGAATCTGCAATCTCGCTACGAGCAACCCGTGTACGCTGCTGATCTGGACCATCTGTTGTCCGACGGCCATTCACAGGACATAGATGGCGGAGATGACGCGCTACCCAAACCCTGTCGACGTCCCGTCAACCACGGCCTCAGGTCCTTGTATCCGCTTCGGTCCCGGTATGTGGTCCTGTTTCGGGGTCTCGTACCATCAGATTTGGACCACGATCCGTTCGTCGAACTAGCGCATCTCAATTACACGTTTTGGGATGTGGATGTGTACTACTTCATCGTAGCCGTCAACGGTTTCGATCCTGTCATCCGACGGATGGTGTACGGCGTGTGGCGTGATCTCTCCATATACAAGTAGGTATACAATTGCGATCCGACCGATATATTATTACGATGTGAGTATATTATTAATCGAACAATTTTTTTTCTACTACGAGAAAACGTCCATATTGATATAATCAAAATATTGATATTTTGAAGTATAGAAAAAAAAAAATCAACTTTTATTTAAAAATGAATATTCCTAATTTAATGATTTGTACGATGGAC